GGAAGTTTGAGTGGACGTAACTATGGCTTGACGTCTGCAATTTAAGTAAGAGCGTATTAATTTCTCTGCTGTTACAGAGAAGTTAAACATTCTTATTAGCTTAGAGCACAGAATATCATAGTTCCCGGTGTCGAAGGCTTTGCTAAAGTCTAGAAGGGTCAGTAGAGTTACTTTGCCTTCCTCCATGCTTTCCCTGGTTTCCTCCACTATATTCAGCAAGGCTGTTACACAGCTACTATTTTTCCTAAAACCTGATTGCGCGTTGTTTAACAGACCATTTGTCTCTACATATTTGTTGATTTGCTTGGCCATTAGGTTTTCGCTTAATTTAGACAAATACGGTAGTATAGATATTGGCCTATAGTCACCATTTGCCTTACGAACAGGAAGTATTTTGGCGTCCTTGCATATTTTAGGGAAAGTGGAAGTGGTTAGCACACTATTTACGGCAAAAGTAACATGTGGCAAAATTTTTGGTAGTATGATTTTAATAAATTTGGGATCTATGTTATCAAGTCCAACTGCGTTTGATCGTATATTAAGGACGGCTTCAAGTACATCACATTCACTAATACACGAAAAGCTAAATCTATTATCACAGGTTATATCACAGTCATTGTTTGTCTCAGCATGATCACAGTACTCATTAAATGATACCTCAGGTACTTGGCATTGCACAAATTTTTGGTTTAATTCATTGATGTCCACATCAATTTCCAATGAAGGTTTTGGCTTACCAACGCCTAGTGCCTTAAGGTCTTTCCATTTTTGTCGAGTATCAACTGCATTTGTAAATTTAGAATTAAAATAGGCGCATTTACATGAGTGAATTAAGTCCGTTACTTTTTTTCGTAAGGTTTTGAACTCTTCATATAAATAATTTGCTTTATACCTTTTCCATTTTTTAAAAGCCGTATCTCTTCTTTTAATTTCACTTTCAATAGTGCTATTAAACCATTGGTGCTTATTTTGTTTCAATATTCTGGTTTTTATAGGAACACAGGTATTATATAAATGCAGTACATTATTTTGGAGACAATCAATTTGCTCATCGACAGAAACAAGACCATACAGCGCGTTCCAGTCACATTGATTACATTCAAACGCTAAAAGATTGTAGTCAATATTTTTGAAGTCCCTAAAAGTAATTTGGTGGTCAGTATTATCGATAGAAATGTCAAAGGTAACGAATATAAGGTCATGTTTAGAGAATGCTGGTACTGAGGTCTGGTCATATAAAAGAACATTGTTAGGTTTGTTTACGAAAAATACGTCTAGGGGAGTGTTGCAGGTACTAGTAAAATGCAGTACAAGAGTCATAAAGTCCCGAAACAAAAAAATGATTATAGAACTGCCAAACTGTGCAATACATCATCTGACCATAATATTTAACAGCATGATGAATTGGGGATATTATCCTCAACAATGGAGGAAGGGTGTCATCACAATGATCCATAAAACCGGAAAGGCCAATCAGCCTTCTGCCTATTAAAGATACTTGAAAAGCTGCTCCTCAATTGCATCAAGCAATACCTACAAGCCCACAATGCAATACCAATGCACCAATTCGGATTTCGTGAAAAACACGGAACTATTAAACAAGTAAACCGCATAACCTCCGAGATACGAAATGCATTTAAAAGACTAGAATATTGCTTCGCTGTCTTTCTGGATGTCGCAAAGGTCTTCGACCGCGTGTGGCTGGACGGTTTAATTCATAAAATCAAATTAATACTTCCACAAAGCACCCATACAATTTTGGAGTCCTGCCTACAGAAAAGTAGCTTTGCAGTGCGATGCATAGACTTCCTCTCTCCAAGGAAGTGTGCTTGGGCCGACATTGTATATTATTTACACAGCAGATCTACCAACAACCACTCTTATTACAATCTCAACCTTTGCTAGGTCTAAATGACCTCTTAGAGCAACGCAACACCTAGTAGATCACCTCGTGCTTCTGGAACAATGGCTAGCAGACTGGCAGAGCAGAGCTCAATCAAAGATATTCAGAACTATAACAAAAGCACCGTGGTATATACGGAATGAAAATATTCACAAAGATCAAAACGTAGGCTTAGTTAAAGACGAACTCGACAAAGCGAAAGCAAAGTACAATCTCAAGCTCCATCCTAATGCCCTTGCGCGGTCTGTAACCTGGACCCTTAGCTATACACGAAGAGACCTCCCCACCCAGCAACATTAGTTAGGGCCGTTATTCTAAACAATACATTTGTAATTAATAAAAATATATAAACTAGATTAAGATTTGCAAACTTGTAGTTAGTCTCTAAGAGAGAAGATTCAATAAATAAAATACAGCTTTCAAAAAAAAAAAAAATCCCAAAAAAAACCAAAACTTTCCAACTAAAAACGTTTCCTATCTAAAATTTTCCCTATCAAGTAAAAAAAAAACACTTAATCTAGGGGAGAAACCCATGATCTGGGAGCACTGTCACAACTTAAATTTTATAGTACTTATAAAGTATATTCTATTCAACGCTAAGTACCTTAAAGGTATAAGAAAGCGTTTCCCACACTATAAAGTATATATGCATGCGCGGGTACACGGGGGTGATATGGGTAATATATCACCCCCCACTCAACTGAAAAATGAAAAAAAATTGGTATTTAAAAAGTATGCAAAAAAAATTTGTGTTGATATCACCCCCTCAACAAAATCCTATATTCGCCACTGATATATTCTTGTTCAGGATCACTAATTCGTATGTCCGTCTGTTTGTATGAACGCTGAGATTTTGGAAACTATAAAAGCTAACCTTATCATGTAAACAAGGAGTACTCCGGTTTTAGTTAAAAAAGTTTTGTCCCAAAAATGTAAATTGTGTTTACGGACAAAAGATTGTTTAAACGCCAGTTTCAATTGAAGATATTACTCGTTTTATGAGAGATTTAAAAAAAAATCTACAATTTTTAAAAAACATTTTTCTATTTGCTACATCACACCTTAAAAGTTATACGGTTCAAATAAAACATAAACTTTTTAAACGAGAATACATTTCAAGTAAAAAACAAGAGAGAACGCTATAGTCGGGTGGGTGTGCCGACTATCTAATCACTCAGCTAAAGGGAGTGCGAGGAAGATGAATATATAAATGGTATATAAATGGTTTATCTACTTGCAGTTCAAATACATACTTACCGTTTAATTAGCCTTCTTTGAGAGCTTCAAACGCTCTATCTCGATGGATCCCGTTTCAGGTATTGCACATTTTTAGATTTGGTTTCTAAAGTGTCAACAATCAAAATGCCTACTTCAAAAAGTTACTATATTCCTAAAAGAGCCATAAGATAACAGTGGTCCTACCGGGCTCGTTCCGACATATGTACTACCTGCAGTAGAAAGAGACTTGGGAAAATTTCTTCGCGATAGAAATGAACATACGGACAGACGGACATGGCTAGATGGTCTCGGCTATTGGTGTTGATCAAGAATATATATTCTTTATGTGGTCGGAAACGTCACCTTTACTGCAAAGATATAAAAAGCAAGCCAAAGTTTGATATACTGATGAGACTAACCGGTGATAGTAGTTATAACGTGACACGCATGGCAATATAGACTCGTTTAGTGATGCTGTTCAAGAATAAATAATTATATAGGGTCGGAAAAATATCCTCACTGCGTTGCAAACTTCTGACTAAAATCATACTACTCTATAAAATTGAGGCAATAATAAGATAGTCGAAATTGTTGTCACAGAAATTATTTCCAGCCGAAATTTGTTATAGTTTTTACGTACACCAATGCACAAAACCAACCGTCTTTGGTTGGAAGAGATTTTTGTGACACCCCCGAAAGGCATGTTTGTCGACCATATCTTCGATGATTTCTTTCAGTATACACTTAATTTTGTTTTATTTGTCAAAACCAATTTAATTTCGTGTAGGGGAGAGTGGGGGAATTTCGTCACAGGGGCAATTTCGTCACCTGCAATATCTCGGAATCCATAAGTCGTAAAAATATATAATTTTTTTGTTTTAGTCCTTCAAGACGGCCAGACACAACCAATGCATTTGTTTTGCACAGAAGGCCAAGATAATTAAGCTATAATATTAAATGTGTTTTAACAGTTCAAAAGCTACATTTAGTTCTTGACGAAATTTTTTCTGTATGCCACAATTCAAAAGGAATAAGATACACGATTTTTTATATAATACACAGTGCTATAATGTGCATTTCTGCGTCAGTGATTTTTAACTTCGCGCCTAATTTCGCAAGAAAAATAATTATTTCTAAAAAAGTACGGTCTGGGGAAATTTCGCCACCCTACGCTAAGGGTAAATTCGCACCTATTTTAAATACATATTTTTATATTTGACGAGCTGGCTAACGAACAGACTACCAGCAGCAGCAACAAATATAGGACGTCAACAAAAATGGTACGCTTGATCAGTGTAGCATATTTTCAGGCGTTAAACTCCCTACATATTTCAGGTGACGAAATTTCCCCAGTTGTGTGGTGATTTTACCCCCCTGTGTGGTGAGATTGCCCCAGTATATTGGTTTTACATTTTATTTTTTTATAAATCACCAAGCTAATTAAAAAAATAGGGGAATGTCACATTTTAAAGCTTGGTGCTAACCGCATTCAACAATAAAAATAGAAATATGATAACGTGTCTCAAGATGGACAAAAAATAGCTTTGAAAAAATGCTGACGAAATTCCCCCACTCTCCCCTACTTTTAGATTTCGTTTAAAACTGTAAATTACTCTATTTTAATAGACATTGATGAGTGCGACACTGGAGAACATAACTGTGGCGAAAAACAAATATGCCGAAATCGACACCAATGCACAAAACCAACCGTCTTTGGTTGGAAGAGATTTTTGTGACACCCCCGAAAGGCATGTTTGTCGACCATATCTTCGATGATTTCTTTCAGTATACACTTAATTTTGTTTTATTTGTCAAAACCAATTTAATTTCGTGTACTTTTAGATTTCGTTTAAAACTGTAAATTACTCTATTTTAATAGACATTGATGAGTGCGACACTGGAGAACATAACTGTGGCGAAAAACAAATATGCCGAAATCGAAACGGCGGCTATGTATGCACTTGTCCGATAGGCCATGAACTTAAACGCCTCGGCAGCAGTGGTGGCAATACATGTGTGGACATAAACGAATGCTCGCTAGATCAACGTGTATGTCCATCGAATGCACATTGCTTGAACACCATAGGGTCTTACTATTGTGAGTGCAAAGCTGGGTTCCAAAAAAAACCTGACAATAATAATGACACACAATGCTTCGATATCGATGAGTGCAGCGTGGTTCCGGGTCTTTGCCAACAAAAGTGTGTTAACTTTTGGGGAGGATATCGATGCTCGTGTAACTCTGGATACCAACTAGGACAGGACAACCGCACGTGCCATGATATAAATGAATGCGAAGTACATAAGGATTATAAGCTATGCATGGGGTATGTATTTGGTAATTTTATAACAGCTTCTGTTACTTACTGTTATCATATTTAAGATTCTGCATTAACACTCCCGGTTCCTATCAATGCTCCTGCCCACGTGGTTATTTATTGTCTGCAGACAGGAATACGTGTCGAGATATCGATGAATGTGCAACTGATTCCAATAACCAAGTTTGCACAGGCCGGGTATGTATTTCATAAAGGGTTCGATACCATATAAAAAGGATACAAAACACCATTTTGCGATCAAAACTTATACATATATTTTAACCTAAAACATTCAAATAGATTTGGAATCCCTTGAATGTTCTTTAAAACAAGAAATGAATTTCACTTCGGCAGGCCGAAGTTTTTATACCCTTGCAGTTCAACTACATACTTAACTTCATTGATAGCTTCAAATGTTTTATCTCGATGGGTCGTGTTCAGGTATAGCAGATGTATATTGGCCATTTATTTTTTAGATTTGGTTTTTAAAATGTCAGAAATCAAAATGCCTACTGAGTCAAAATCTCCCAAGTGGACTGCTAATATTTGCTAATTTGTTTGTATTCATTAATAAACACTTGCTGTTTTACTGTTTTCAAGGTCAAATTTGCGACGCAGTCTGCTGCTCTTCCTTTGCTTTTGTGATGTTTCTTTTGTGTTTGTAGACAATTTTGGATATCCTTTTATCCAATTCATTGTCGGTCGCGTGTAGACGTGTTTTCTTAACGCTCCGGAAAAACAAAAGAAAAACAATCTTTCACCCAGTTGAAAACGTTCGAAAATTTAGAACAGCGTGGTGTTGCGTTTCGCGATGTTAATCGCATATTGTAAACTAAAGTTTTAATTAATTTATTAATTAATCTTTACGCACTAACAATAAGCAAATAATTAAGAACGTGGATCAGCGCACTCAACGCCAAAAACAACAAGACGAAGCCCGTGAAAAAAATTCAGAGAGAGCAAGACAAACTTCGTCTTTCTTTGGCCCGCAACAATGCTTATTTCTCTTTTACGAATAATACTCTAGAACCGAAAGTGCAAGAATATGCAAGTTTACTGACCGCCGAAAACCAGAGAGCTAGTTCTTGCTCTTCCGCCCTGCTTCTCAACGCTCAAACGCCATGGAGTGAGCAATGCAAAACTCCAACCGAGCTTCAGCCACCTGGTGCAACAACAACAGCAACTACTACGTCAACTACAACGGCCTCTGTCGCCAACATTGCAATAACGACTCCACTCTCTTCTTCTGCAGCGGGTAAAGCAACAATACTATTAAGTGCAAAAATCGGGTCAAACGGCAAAAACAAAGCTACGGTTGAAGAAATGACAAATCCGCAAGCGGGTTCGGCCATGCAGACAGGCGTGGATCGCTACATAAATATTTCCAAGCGCAAGCTAACTCCCTCAAAAAATGCTGACGGCAATAAGCCCAAAGTAAACCGTACCAGCAAAGGCCCTGAAAATCTCGGGCCACCAAATGAAAATAGATTTTCCATTCTGGCGGAGCACGGAACAGAGTCTGAACAATTAGCCCCAAGGAAACTGAAGAAGCCACCTATCCTTATTCGGGAGAAGACCTCGAATGCCCTAGTCAACAAAATAGTTGAGCTAGTCGGAAAAGATAGCTTTCATGTTATTCCGCTTATGAAAGGGAATATAAGTGAAACTAAACTGCAAACCAGAACTGAAGACGATTTCCGAGCAGTGTCAAAGTACTTAAACGATGCCAAAAAGAATTACTACACGTACCAGCTAAAAAGCTGCAAAGGCTTGCAAGTTGTGCTTAAGGGAATAGAACCCGATGTGACCCCCTACGAAATTACAGAGGCTTTAAAAGAAAACGGTTTCTGTGCAAAAAATGTTATAAACATTATGAACAAAAACAAGAAGCCGCAACCACTATTCAAGGTCGAGCTGGAGCCAGACAGCAGAACTTTGAAAAAAAACACAGTGCACCCGATCTACAAGTTGCAGTACCTGCTGCATAGTAGGATCACAGTAGAAGAGCGGCACAAACGGAACGGGCCAGTGCAATGCACGAACTGCCAGGAATACGGACACACCAGGGGTTACTGCACCCTCAGGTCAGTATGTGTAGCTTGTGGAAACATCCACGACTCCGAGCCCTGCCCTGCCAACAAGGAAGACTCTCTCACTAAAAAGTGTGTAAACTGCCAAGGAAACCACACAGCAAACTACAGAGGCTGTCCAGTCTACAAGGAGATGAAAAGTCGGATGCAACGAACGACAACGGCACGCTACCAGAACACACAGAACAATTACATGAGATCACAAACGACACCGGAAGTTTTCTTCGCAAAAGCAGCCAGGTCTTCATTTGGCCCTTCAATTACCACCAACGGCATTTCTTACGCCAGTGCTCTAAAATCAGGCACAGCTCACATAGAACCGAAAATGGATAACATCCCGCAGGCCATGGGACATCCCCAAAGTGACATGGAAACTATAATGATCACTTTGCAACATAATATGATGGAATTTATGTCCTTCATGAAAACCACCATGCAAACCTTTGTGCAAACCCAAAACATTTTGTTAAAAATACTCGCAGCTCAGCAGTCCAAATAAACTATGCCTAGTCTTCGAATAACTTTATGGAACGCCAACGCTGTTTCACGGCATAAACCTGAAATAAGTCAGTTTCTGAACGAAAACCACATCGACGTTATGTTGCTGGCAGACCAGCAAATACGGGGATACACGTTCTACAGCACAGATCATCCAGATGGTAAAGCACATGGCGGAACCGGCATCTTAATAAGAGACCGCATCAAACACCACTTTCACCAAAGGTTTGCAAAAAGTTATTTGCAAGCTACATCGATAAAATTGCAGTTGGGCAACTGCAACTCGCTTTTGGATCTATCATCGGACCACTCACCAGTGCTAATAACTCTTCTTGAAAGCCCGGAATTAATCGAGCATCCTCGCATCGAACCAACTGGCTGAAGTTCAAAAAGTACGTAAGTTCCCACATTGAACTGACTCCACAGCTCAACATCAAGGAGGACATCGACTGCTATGCCGATGTACTGGAGTCTGTACTCGTCGCAGCAGCCAAAGTCTCTACACCGCAAGGGAGGGATGGGCGCACACACCAACACAAAACTAACTTGGAAATCGAACAGCTTGTTTTGGAGAAAAGGCGTATGAGGCGTGCTTGGCAAACCAGCAGATCGCCATCCTCGAAACAAAGTCTTAAGGAAGCTGGTCGCAGACTTACCAGGGCCTTAAGGCACGAAGAAGTAGAAGCACAACGCCAGTACATTGAGAAACTTTCACCCACCAGCACCAAGCATCCCTTGTGGAAGGCCCACCCAAATCTAAGTGCGCCGTCCGAAACAGTAATCCCCATAAGAGACTCTTCAGGCAACTGGGCCAGAAGCGACAAAGACAGAGCTTGTACATTTGCTTTACACCTTCGAAATGTCTTTCAGCCAAACCCTGCAACAAATTCATTCGCACTACCGTCGCCGCCAATTCGAATCGAAACTGAGACGGACCCAAATCAGTTTCAACCAAACGAAGTTGCAAAAGTAATTAGCGAGCAATTGAAACCAAAAAAGGGCCCAGGCGGTGATCTAATAACTGCGAAAATGCTAATTGAACTCCCAAACTGTGCAGTTGAGGTCATTTGTAAACTCTTTAACGGGATTACACGACTTGGCTACTTCCCAAAAAAAAGGAAAAAATCGGCAATCATAATGATCCCAAAGCCAGGAAAAGATCACACAATACCAGCTTCAAACAGACCGATAAGTTTACTCTCGTGTCTGTCAAAACTGCTCGAAAAATGCCTTTTGACGCGCATAATCCCATATCTGAAAGAGCACAACGTTATTCCGGCACATCAATTTGGCTTTCGAGAAAGCCATGGAACAATAGAGCAAGTCAACAGATTAACAACGGAAATACGGTCTGCATTCGAATATCGAGAATACTGCAGTGCGGTATTCCTTGATGTTGCACAGGCTTTCGATCGAGTCTGGCTTGATGGCCTTATGCACAAAATCAGAACTATTCTGCCGGAAAACACTCACATGATACTTGAATCGTACCTTTAAAACAGAGAATTCGCCGTGAGATGCAACACTACAACATCCGACGATTACACTATAGAGGCTGGAGTTCCCCAAGGTAGCGCCCTTGGTCCAACTCTATTTCTCCTTTACACCGCAGATATTCCCACGAACGTCCGGCTAACTACTTCCACATTCGCAGACGATACCGCGATCATAAGTCGGTCCAAATGCCCAATTCAGGCAACAGCACTACTAGCTGATCAACTCGTGGTAGTGGAGAGGTGGTTATCAGACTGGCGTATAAAAATAAATGCGCAAAAGTGTAAACACATAACGTTTACTCTTAACAGACAAACGTGTCCCCCGCTTACTCTGAATAACACGCCACTTCCACAAGCTGACGATGTAACGTACCTTGGCGTTCACCTAGACAGGAGACTTACATGGAGGAAACATATCGAAGCTAAGAAAATTCATCTAAAACTAAAATCCATTGGCCTCCATTGGCTCTTAAATGCTCGCTCCCCCCTCTGCCTGGACTTCAAGGTCCTGCTCTACAATTCAACGCTTAAGCCAGTCTGGACATACGGCTCCCAGTTGTGGGGAAACGCGAGCAGCAGCAACATCGACATTATCCAGCGAGCACAATCAAAAATCTTGAGAACTATCACTGGGGCACCTTGGTATGTTCGGAACGACAACATCCACAGAGATCTTGGCATTCTGCCCGTAAAAGGCGAAATATCAAAACAAAAAGCGTCCTACCTCACCAAGCTAACTTCTCATCCAAACCAACTCGCCAGGGGGCTAGCCAGGGTCTCATACCGGACCCGATTGCAACGAAATGACCTTCCAGCTCAGCAATAGTTATTAGAGCCCTTTAATCTCGCGTCAGTCATCATGACTGCTAGATAGTTTTTTAATTTAAGATTTTTTGGTTATTAGCTCTCTTGCTATTGATGGTTGGCCAGCAGAGTTTTGATCTCCTGAGACCCTGCTTTTCCGAACAACTTTTGCTAGCTTGTGTTTTGTAGTGTTCGTGAATCCTTGCTTGAATCGTATTTAGGGATTCAGGTAGACTAGTTGTATAGGAGTCGTTTGCCGACCCCATTCGTGCAAGTTTATCCGCCTTTTTGTTTCCTGGTATATCATTGT